ATCCAGACATTTCATTACAAGGTGGAATACTTTGGGGTACTGTGATGTTGGATGGATCTTGTTACGGTTTACACGTAGTGAATACAGATGATACGTTACTTTGAGCAGGTCGTACATTTTAGATACAAATGTATGCATACGTAGGAAACGGCCAGGGGACACCATAATGGGCTTCAGACAGTGTATATATGTGGGGAATCGAACCCAGCGAACGCTTTAACCACCAGGCTACCCCACCGCCCCCACGTAATGGGATTAGGTCATATGACTACTCTGACTCAAATCACAATAAGATTGGATTGACGTCACCAATGCCACCCCGATGACGTAACCAATACTGTACCCGGGAAGTGATATATGCACAAATGAACAATACAATAATGAACTCTTATATTTCTAACCCCATGGGTAACAAGTAACATTAACAAGACAATCACCAATGACATATCGCTATGTACAATGGAATGGCATTATTGTTTTACAGAACATTGTGACGTCACAATATATCTCTAATCCCGGCCTGTTTGGTTTAATATATCTCTAATCCCGGCCTGTTTGGTTTGCTGAACACTCAAATTGGCAGTTTTTCACAATAGAGGAGAAGACCATGAGTTCTACATTTTTATTAACTTCGAACCGAAAACGATGACCCGGTTTCACTGCTCACGATGCATTGTTTGTTTGTGGGACATCCGGAACAATCTGGTAAACAATGCCATATGCCTATTGATTTTCCGCATCGTGCGGTTAACAACATATGAAACTGGATGAGAATATTGTCATAATCTGAAAGGAACAATGTCCGTCACGACAGCTGTACCAAGTAAGATATCTGATTACTGATTTTATGAAAAGCTCTCGCCAGTTCGTCTCATGCTGGGTCCGGTAAAATTGATATTTACTGTACTGTATAATGAGATGTATCGTATGACGACATGGCCACTCACGTTCCCGCCGCCTACCAAGATGTCAGAAGGACGTGTACCGGAGAGCGAAAGATCGGTCATTCCATCCATGGGCCGAGTCCCACATACATGCAATAAAAGATGATGTTTGACGATACCCTGGCTAGGGAATATAACTACATGTAGATAACCCAACATTAGTAGGTGGAAAAGGTCGCCACAGAAAAGTCAGCACTCGTACACACAGATCCGTACACATAAGACACTACGTGGAACCCAATCTATCCTCTTCTTATCTACCATACATAAGGTAGGATGCTTTAAAGATGGCAACGTCTTAATTATATTATGATGCGACTTTTCAGTATAGATTATATTACTGTTGCCAAGTAACAGTGAATGGGAATTTCACTTGGGATAATAAAGAAATTATCTTAATATATGAATTTATGAACGTCGCATCATGATGTATAAAATGAAAGTTGTCACACACAAAGTACTATATCCTATCTTTCTCGTTACTCATCAACACCTAATGTGCCAATCAAAGAGATAATATACAGAAAGATCTCAGGACATACTGTTCCTGGTCACACGCAAAATACACATCGAAAAATGTTTTGACAGATCTCTCATTTTAAAATTTGAAACTGAATATAAATGAGCATGTTGGAATGTCTAGTAATCGGTCGATATTGTTTGGCGTGATTTCCTTTGAGGTAGATCAAGTACTGTGTACCCCTCAAACAAGGCTACCAACTTACACTTGTCAGTAGGGTATATAAAGATCTAGACTAACAGTTGTTGGACTTTTAAATTTGTGGAAGTCATGGTGTCAATTTGTGGTTTAGACGGCTTTTGTGCGAAATCGATGTTTTTCCTTACTCGGAGGTTCGAATACGTTTAATACGTATTAATAATATCTCCAAGGAGATATCGTTTGATCTGACACAAACAATATCGCCAGTGGAACACAGTTATGGACGATAAAGATACTTATTGTGATATCTTTAAGTTTGAAGAGGAATTTGTATTAAAAAAGCAAAACACAAACACACCTTTTCTTTGGCCAAATATATATGATGAAAGAATCATTGGGTAGTTTCAATCGAAAGTCAGATAAGTGTTTTGTTATTAAAATGTGCTGAATTAGACGAGTCATAAGAGACTTGCCATTATACAACATACGGGATAGTGCAGAGCTAGGTATTGCGCATTTCCAGCCTCTCTTTACCTTGTGGCCCACCACCGTCCTATGAACCTATCCCTAAACGTGCGCAGCTGCTAACAGTCGGTAGACCATGGCTGCACTGTGATCAGACAGCAGGCGCCATATTGTTACTTGAACCATCCCGTGTGTGAAGACGAATTGCCTGCACACCACTGATAGACAGCCATGCATACAAGCCCTTGTAGTTATTAATGTTACCTAATCATGCATTTCGTAAAGTTGTACTAACATCTGCACTTGATGCGAGCTCGTGCAGGCTTTGCTCTTTAAAACACAGACAACGCCCCTCCCTCACAGGCTGAAGTCTTCCAGTTGGGAATATTCTGGTCTGGTCTGTCGGCTAAATATAGATAACCATGGCAACGCTTACATCAAGGGCTGTCATTTTGTATGACCTCGTACTGTTATCGATGCAATGCCAGTTATTTTGGGCTCGTTTCACTGATAACGTCTAATACATTTTGGATCCTACCGTGAGTCACGATATGCTTCATTGTGCTTCATGACTGAACGGGAATCCGCGGATGTTTTGTAATGTGTATAATTATGATGATGTTATAACGCCAGAATGCTTTGTTCGTTTTTCTAAACCTCTGCACATGCCGAAACTGTAAAAAATATCAGCGTGTAAAAAAAGTCGGTTCTTTAACGGACATTCAAATTATCATAAGTATCACACGACTGGACTATGCATGACAGAAACCATTCACCAGTGCATCATGCGTTTGTACGCTACAATACGAGACATGGTAATATTTTTTGTGTCGATACAATATGAACATGCTTTTAAAATTAGCATTGGTTTACTGAAACTCCCCACATCCTATATTTTGTCAGTAAGTTACCATAGCGTTTTACGTTTACTGCTACAACCGCGACAAACATGCGTCTACAACTATCTTTGGGGGCGGTGGGTAGCAATATGTGACCCATTTAGCGTGTCCCCGCCGTGATATTGCTGTAATATTACTAAAAGCGGCATAAAACCAAATACACACGGTGTCTCTAATCACACGTACGCACACACACGCACACACACATCATGTGAATTTTAAGACAGTAAAAAACTGCTCGGCTGGGTCATCATGACTTCAGAATTTCACGACTGTCAAGATAGACCGATTGCCCTCTGATATCATAATGTTTCAAGTGATTTAACCCGCATTGAGTATCGCGAGAACATCCATCGTGACCTTGTATCGCTGCGTCTGTCATGGATCACATATGGCGCTGACATGCGATGATGTATGAGAGATACGGTGGCATTACACCCATCACACAGTGGAGACAGAGGGCAGTACTACTACAAGTATATACACACACCATCCCATGACGCACATCTCTGTATTAGACAATTTATTGATGCTTCTATATATACATACATAACACGGTTCGATGCAGGGAATTGGTGTTGAAATAGGAAGTGTATGTGATAACGCAGACAGAAGGTTTCAGCAGAATGCTGCACTCTGCTATATTCATGAATATTAAATCTGCACACGCTTCAGGGCGGATATCATACTGTATCTTCTTATTACCTCCATTTTCCCATATCCGTCGCGTCGTGACCCTGGCAGAGCCAGATACCAGCTGTGGCTATTAGATCGATATGTAGACGTTATCGATCGACGTTCTGCACAAGTCCGAGCCATGTATTCCGACCTACTGTGGACTGATTAACTTATGGTGTCTACCTTCCACGCATTAGTCACGAAACATGTCGGGCCATTACCGCGCTAGCATTAACGCCTTGATGTAGGCTTTCAGTTGAAATCATGCTCGAAACATTCACTGTAAAGGAGATTATTTTTCTTCATTAAAGAAAATCGCTGAAATCGCTGTCACCCTCCGACCATATTATTTTCACAGCTTTTTTGTCCTTACTTCGCCAAATGGAATCTACTTTGATCGAAAAGTGATAGTGGCCCTGATTGCTTACTTTTCCTAATTCAGACTGTTTTGTTGTTGATAAAATGAAAATTCATGATAAAAATTGGCCCAACGGGATGTCATTATGAAAATGTCGTTCAGCTGTATACAAGAGTCTGGCGTTTAGGGCTACTGTGTCAGTAAGATACAAGCTGGCATTATTGTTGACACATAACCTACTCGTCATAACCAATAGTTTCAGTTTATGGTGGTTACCAGCCAAACGCTCCTGAATCAGTTACAATTTGTGAAAAGTCTAGAAAATTCGATCTGAAATCCTGCAAATATTATACGCATGCGTTAAAACATCCAGAAAACTGAAGCGCACATAAAATCTATGAAACACACACTGCTAGTTTAAGGTCATATGCTCTATCATCAATCGAATGAGTGAGTTTAGTTTTACGCCACGCTCAGCAATATTCCAGCTATATGGCGGCGGTCTGTAAATAATCGAATCTGGACCAGACTATCCAGTGATCAAGAGCATGAGTCAGCGAGCCTGACCACCCGATCCCGTTAGTCGCCTCTTACGACAAGCAAGGGTTGCTGAAGATCAATTCTAACCCAGACCTTCTTGGAATGAAAATGCACTCATTTACAATAGTTTTTAAGATTATCTGAATGCCACATGACTTGACCGTGCTAAATCTGTTTGCACATATGTTACAATGACACGAGGACACACTGTCAAGTTATCTGTAACCTGCACCAGACCGGGGAGGTCGGCTCTCTTCAACCCAGAGTTCCTTGCGGGCAGTACAATAACTTGGTGGAATCCAGTGACATGTGACGATTTGTCACATCTTACCCATTGCATTTAAGATCATCAATAGGCTGTAGCTGGGAACAAAAGGTTATCTACTACTAGTTCTTGGGCTCAGCGTTGCTGTACCCCAAAGGGCATGAATTTTTTAATAAAAATCTACAGTCAATAGGAATTAAAATAACTTTATTTCCAAGCTTCTATATTGTACATAATTAGTTAATCTGCCATTCGCCGGTATACTTGAGCTCACGGGCAAGTTGACAGGCCACACAGGAGCCCAGGAAGGCGGATGTGCAGAAGTCACTCATTATGCTTCCCTGAAACACAGATTAGTCTTCAATTACAGTAGGGCTGTAACGAGTCCACGAGGTGAACATGATGCATATCACGAACATTGGGTAACGGATGTGACTATTAGGTAATGAATACAGGCAATCAGTTGGTGTAGTATTCATTAATGTGTTTATTGAAACAATAACAAAAGACATGTTTTGAACATATCGACAGCATTCATTTATCACCACAGTAACCAATGACAACATTACCTGTTAAATAGAATATATGAAGATGTTAATTATTATCCTGCCTGGCTTGGATATATTCCATTTTTCATATCTCGCTTTGATAAATAACAACCAAAATTGAAGTAAAAGCACTCGTTTTTTTCAAAAAAACTAATTCACGAATATTTAATTAAAGTGATCGCGAATTCGGAGATAAACATCATGTGTTGGCCAATTTCCGGGTGTTATTGGGTATTTGAAGCACGGAATTCATTTGCAACCCAAGTGAATCGTAACAGCCCTAATTCACGTGTAAGTTTTGGATATCCCAAATATCGATATCCGAGCAGTATCATTGCGAACAGTACAGAATCGATTTACTCTCATGAACATGACGATACATGTCGGGACAAAATAGATCATTCATTCTCAAATCATCTCCTCAAATGTATGTTACGATTGGGCCCACTTGTACTAAGCGATCTCAGCTGGATGATGCTCTTAACCTCCCATACTCAAACAAACCCATAGTCTGACGTAAGGCTGACACGCTTTGTACAAGCCAGACCAGGCTTACAACAGCTTCCATCGCTCCTTGGCATTCGTATGTTTGACGACCAAACAGCTTGATTGGGTTTGGATTTACATTTTAGAACATAATTTGTCACAGAAAGTAACGAATCGTCAACCCCACCCAGGTCTTAACGTATATAACACCAAGATTAAATCTTGATCACTCCATTGTTAGACATATGATGTGGGACATGGATAGCTTTCAGACTGAGTATATGTTTTCCACACTCTATGTCATGAACAAATTAACATGAACGATGTTCTGCAATAGTTCTATGTATATCTACTAAGGAATATCGCCATGGAGATGGAAATACTGACGAGTGCCTTAAACAACAAACAAATACACGAAGTAATAAAAATATATACTATCCAAAAGGAAAAAAGAAAAAGAAATGCATAGGCGTTTTGTATTTTATTTATATCTAATAATTACCTACCGTGTCCAAACAATCATCAAAATATGCAACAAAAGTGTTGATAACATGATTTTACACAATTGCACAAGTGAAAAAGATCGACTTTACCTGAAAATATTGATTTTGATGAGATTTCTTACAAGGATTAAAAAGGCATCACCACAACACAACAGAAATCACCTTCCAGTTGAAATTGTGCAGCAAAGAGCATGCATGGCTATAAAAAAGCCAGATTACCTTCGGAAATCGGCATTCGTTTTGAAGGAGTTTCAAGGTCAAATCATAACGCCACGTCTTGCGACATGGAACATCGCCATTAAAAGAATGCACGCTGGAGATTACCAATCTTCTGTTGCCAGGCGTCTGAATGTTAGTCTGAGCACGATGTCACGGCTTACAACTAACTCGTTACAACCAAACAGGCATAACAACCCCCAACCCCCCTGAGAGCCAGGACATTTTTTTTTCCTAGACTGATGCAAAATTTCATTTCCTAAAGTCTATTTGTGGACGTGTTATACATGTTTGAAAATACAACATTTTCGCAACAGATTTCTGGGTTATGCGTTTCTTTTTTGAATAGTATATAATGGCCTATTTCTTTCAAAAAAGGAGAAGTTGTCCCAGAAATAAATGAAAGTAATATTTATGCTTCAGGCTGTTAAAATAAATGACAGCCACAAAATACATTGATGCAACTTATTTTTGAAAACATTTATTGCTCACAAGTCTCTTTAAATAACTCCAGATGCCCCCACCCAGCATGTCAAATGGTCGGTCACGGATGGGTGACTGACGCACAGACTTACCTGAATATTGTGTCTCTCTCTCACAGCTGTTCTCATTGTGACAATGGCGTTAGGAACACAGATAGGAACACAGCAGTTTTCACCCATCTTCGAAGCTATCTGGCACATAAGGCATGTGCCACAAAACGTCCCGCAGAGACCTGTAACCAATAGCCTATACTATACTAAGTGTGGCTTACATGAGTGTAACACATACAGCATGCTGTTAATGAGAGCCTCCTACTTTACACTTGACCTGTAACACCAACAACTTGTAGTCAGTGGAAGTCTTCTACAGACACACAACGACTGCAACACAAACAATATATAGTCAGTGGAAGTCGTCTACAGACACACAACGACTGCAACACAAACAACATATAGTCAGTGGAAGTCTTCTACAGACACACAACGACTGTAACACAAACAACATATAGTCAAAGCAGTGGAAGCCTTCTACAGACGCACAGCAACTGTAACACAAACAACATATAGTCAGTGGAAGTCTTCTACAGACACACAACGACTGTAACACAAACAATATATAGTCAAAGCAGTGGAAGCCTTCTACAGACGCACAGCAACTGTGACACAAACAACATATAGTCAGTGGAAGTCTTCTACAGACACACAGAACCTGAAGCACAAACAACATAGAGTCTATGGAAGCCTTCTACAGACACACAACGACTGTAACACAAACAACATATAGTCAGTGGAAGCCTTCTACAAACACTCAACCACTGTAACACAAACAACATATAGTCAAAGCAGTGGAAGCCTTCTACAGACGCACAGCAACTGTGACACAAACAACATATAGTCAGTGGAAGTCTTCTACAGACACACAGAACCTGAAGCACAAACAACATAGAGTCTATGGAAGCCTTCTACAGACACACAACGACTGTAACACAAACAACATATAGTCAGTGGAAGCCTTCTACAAACACTCAACCACTGTAACACAAACAAAATATAGTCAGTGCAGTGGAAGCCGTCTACAGACACACCGCAACTGTAACGCAAACAACATATAGGCAGTGAAAGCCTTCTACAGACACACAACGACTGTAACACAAACAAAATATAGTCAGTGGAAGCCTTCTACAGACACACGACTGTAACACGAACAACATATAGTCAGTGGAAGCCTTCTACAGACACACGACTGTAACACGAACAACATATAGTCAGTGGAAGTCTTCTACAGACACACAACGACTGTAACACAAACAACATATAGTCAGTGGAAGCCTTCTACAGACACACAACGGCTGTAACACAAACAACATATAGTCAGTGGAAGTCTTCTACAGACACACAGAACCTGAAGCACAAACAAAATTTAGTCAGTCGAAGTCTTCTACAGACACACGACGACTGCAACACAAACAACATATAGTCAGTGGAAGCCTTCTTCAGACACACAACGACTGAAAGACAAACAACATATAGTCAGTGGAAGTCTTCTACAGACACACAGAACCTGAGGCACAAACAGCATTTGGGCAGTGGAAGTCTTCTACAGACACACAACTGTAACGCAAACAACATATAGTCAGTGCAGTGGAAGCCGTCTACAGACACACAGCAACTGTAACGCAAACATATAGTCAGTGGAAGTCTTCTACAGACACACAGAACCTGAAGCACAAACAACATTTAGTCAGTGGAAGTCTTCTACAGACACACGACTGTAACACAAACAACATATAGTCAGTGGAAGCCTTCTTCAGACACACAACGACTGAAAGACAAACAACATATAGTCAGTGGAAGTCTTCTACAGACACACAACGGCTGTAACACAAACAACATATAGTCAGTGGAAGTCTTCTACAGACACACAGAACCTGAAGCACAAACAACATTTAGTCAGTGAAAGTCTCTACAGACACACGGCTGCAACACAAACAACATATAGTCAGTGCAGTGGAAGCCTACTACAGACACACAACAACTGTAACACAAACAACATGTAGTCTGTGGAACCCTTCTACAGACACACAACGACTGTAACACAAACAACATTAAGTCAGTGGAAGCCTTCTACAGACACACAACTGTAACTCAAACAACATATAGTCAGTAGCTTCTACAGACGCACAACAACTATGACATAAACAACATTTAGTCTGTGCAGTGGAAGCCTTCTACAGACACACAGCTGTAACACCAACGACATATTGTCAATGCAGTGGAAGCCTTCTTCAGACACACAGCTACTGTAACACAAACAACATATAGTCAGTGCAGTGGAAGCCTTCTAGAGACACACAGCTGAAACACAAACAACATTTAGTCAGTGGAAGTCAACAACAGATACAATGGACCTCGGTCTAAGTAAACTTAGACTCAGTTTTATTCGTTACACTGCTATACTGGGTCTAACAAAACCTCGTGGAAGGTCGCGTCAGGTAACTTTTGAGCGACCTATGACCGCCCAATCAAACGCGAGACGGCCGAACGGATTTAACCAATCAGACAACAGCTACTTTTTAGGATTTCGGCGGGACTTACAAAATGGATTTTCTCTTCCCCGTTCGCCAACACTGATCTCCCAACAAATGAAAATTGCATAAAACACAGATATTTGCCCTGCAGTATATACTCTTTGGGGTTTCTGGTGACATGGCTATCATAGCTAATATTTCAGCAAGCTGACATGCTTGAATACTGACTAAACGCTATTTTCAGCGACTGTTTACTCACTGATGTGGCGTGCCTCACTAGGAACCGATCGTACGGAAAATAGCATTCGGAATCGCTCGGTACAAACTTTTGGAAGGTAAACGTTCAAAAGGTATGTGTGAATGTCAACTTTCGCGATTTGGTAAGCTGTGTTCTGATTGGTCAATTGAAAAGGTTATCTGACGCGACCTTCCACAAGGTTTTGTTAGACTCAGTATAGCAGTGTAACGAATAATACTGAGCCTAAGTTTACTTAGACTGCAATGGACCTGTATCACAAAACACGCATTCAGTCGAAGCCTTCTACAGACTCACACGAATTGAAACAAAAACAATATTTTAGTCAATGGAGGCCTTCTGCCTGCACATTTGTTGCAAATTTCGACTCTGATTGACGAATTATGATATATTAAGGATATATATTCAAATATTTTTAAAATTTTGAATGGAACAAAATGTTTTTGACAAAGATGAGCATATAGTAGTTTAAATACATATTCAAGGCTACTTACCAATTACAATTTTTCATTATGCAATTCAAAAACAATGTAGTCATACTTAAGCAAAGCACATTGTGTCAGGAACTAGACCGGAAGCGTGAAGTTTGACCGTGGCAAAAGGAGAGTTATCGCCCCTCGGATAAGTTATCCGACATGGAACTTTTGAACCGATCTTAGGGGGAAATTGTGTGTTATGTTACCTCGCACATAAATGTCGCTTTCTGATTGGCTGAGCGCTCTTCTATTAATTTCAATGTACCCCGCTTACAAGCGAGTAACATTTCAATGTACCCCGCTGTCAATGGCAACTCTATTGGTACTTCGTGGTAGTAATTCTTTATCTCGAATAACATTAAATTACGTACGATGTACGGAAATTACCGATATTTTGCGAATGCAAATCGATGGAAGGGAGATAACTCTAAATCTGTTTTTCTTGTCAGCAAAATCCAGCGATGGCTATAAAAAAAAAATTGTACCAGTACTTCAAAGAATTCAAAATTAACATTAAGGTGTTCGGTAAGATAAATACGTTGTTCACTGGTCCCTCAGGGCCCATGGGTTGATGTACCCTCGATGTTTGTTTATAAACATAAACAAACATCGAGGGTACATCAACCCATGCCCCACTAGTGACCAGTGAACAACTTATAATGTACCCAATCCACAGCCTACACACCCATCTGGGCTGTTCACCACACAACATATAACAACCGCTGACAACGCATATTGTTTCCCTTATTCATGCCAATTATAGACTAAACTCAATTCGTAACCTACATAAACCCATGTCCTCAAAGCAGCCGAACAGTTTTGATGACCACAGCCTCTTCTGGGGGACTAGTGCTGGTTGACCGAGCGCACCAGGCTGAAATCATCCAAAATTTATGGAAATTGAAGCTCACATAACTGGTTCTGTCCCCGTATTCTGTGAATAGCAGTGCGTGATTTTTTATTCTTTGTATTCATGTATTTAGAACAAAAATAGTAGTGATATTTTTTATACTTAAGACCACGTAGTTCTGACATGGATCTTCACGTGTCTAATTCAATGTTAAAATATGATAGTAAAGAACGTCTCGGTAATAAGACCGCTTTGTGGATCGGCACCTAACCCAACTAGTGATTGATATTACGAGCACCGATCCATGTCTTCGAGATATCAACAAATTCAAGAAACAAACATAGATGGTGATGATACAGTCTAATAGTGGTTCTGTTTACAGTGAAGATAATGATGACTTGTGGTTTAACGTCGGCTTCAGGCTGTGTCTATTTCCCCGACGGTAAACCTACAATGTACGTCTTTACTCCTGTCTCCCACCTTCATATCTCACATGGGCTATAACCCATGAAGATCCGGGTTAGAATTGGTCTTCAGCAACCCAAGCTTGTCGTAAGAGGCGGCAAACGGGATTGGGTGGCCAGGCTCGCTGACTTCGTTGACACATGTAATCGTATCGCAATTGCGTAGATCGATGCTCATGCTGTTGATCACCCTATTTTCTGGTCCAGACTCGAATATTTACAGAGCGCCGCCATATATCTAGCCTGGAATATTGCTGAGTGCGGCGTTAAACAGCAAACAAACAACCTTTACCCCTGAGCCCCACCCCGACCCCCACCCCCATATCTCACCTGGACTATAACCGTTTGTCCCTGTGCCATGGTGAAGCTGATTTACTGCTGAAATGAAAAATAACAACATTTTTTGTAAGTTAGTGATTTGTGTTAAACGCCTATGAGAACAATACATAGCAACATATCGACTTGATGAGAGAAAGCCCATAATTAGACTGTCCAACATTACAAGTGTACAAACATTGGAATGGAAAGGTCCCTACTGTAAGTCGTATTTCCAGTGGAACCCCGCTTATCCGGACACCAGATATTCGGGAAAATATTTACGGCTACCGGACACAAACAGTCGATGGGCGGGTAGCATGGCGTTATTGGTTATAAAAAAATGTTCATGATATGTCTTGAGATATATTTGTAATCTATTGCAAACGAAAATGTTGAAAAAACAATGGTTTAATATTGTTTACATAAATTCTGCAAAAAAGTGAGCGACCGAACGTTATTTACACCAACTACTGATGCTTAAAAGGAACGTTAGTTGACAGAGAATGTCAATAACATTTCAGCAGATTTATCAAAGCGTACTGTTGTTACCATGGAGTCCAGTGTTCACGAATAGCATCTGACCCTCTGACAAATCCGGAAGATTCGCCAACGGTCCGACAGAAGTCTACAACCCGCCAGCCCCAGTGTCTGACTGTAAATTTCACAATGACTTTCACTGAAGTTGTTATATGTGACATGTGACTCTTTTTTGCTGTTTATAAATCTTATGTTTGTTAATAATTTCAATGCCAATTATAAGAAATGTTAAATCTGAAATGTGTCAGACAGACATCTGAAACTTACAGGACCCAGTGTCCTGTTACTGGGTCAGACAGACATTTGAAACTTACAGGACCCAGTGTCCTGTTACTGAGTCAGACAGAAATCTGAAACTTACAGGACCCAGTGTCCTGTTACTGAACACTGGGAGTCCCTGCCAAAGGAATCTTCTTGGACAAAACTAAACTGAAAAAATGTACTCACAACTTTGGAAAATATTCACGTCGGAAAATATTACGATTGACTGAAATTGCAGATTGAAAACCATAGTATGGCATATTGAGAAATGGCGGCGGTGTTAGCAACAGTGCATCATGTACGTGTTATGTAAAGACACCGTACTCAGGGGCGGGTACAGCTTTGTGAGAAGGGGGTGGGGTGGGGGTGGTGGTGTTTGCACACTATTGAGAAAGGGGTACACACTTCATTTTCACAAGAGTTTCAATGGTCATTTAATAAACTTTCAGGACAAGGGAGGGTGCGACACACACACACACACACACACACCCTATACACAAAAATCGAACGGAAGACTTTGGAGAAAAATTTGATTTTAGCGGGAATTCAGTACGTTATTTAAGTAAAACATACTTTAAACTTTCACTATTGCTGAAAAGTCGTTGGAACAAAAATATAAAATACATTGATTCATTATGAACTGATATATAGATCTATATATAAGTTTGTCAAGTTTATCGTTTGGTTCACTAATAACAACAACTATCCTGCCCTTCTGTCTATCATGCGTGTTTCCAAGAACTTCAAGTTGTTGACGAAATGAAAGAAGTGTGCTTTTTATAGATGTTTGAAAAACTTAATCATTCCTGACTCGTAATTAAGATTTAAGCAGTAAATACTGGGAACATGTTTCAATGATATTTAATTATTTCATCCGTAAGAAATGGAAATATATCCATCGAGATTGGTACCCCATGGAATTGATCGGGAGTATATACTGATTATATTATCGAAAACAATGAGAGTGAATCGCAAAATGCTTGTGACAAAGGCCACCTCGCCAATCATTGTAAATTATGGTTATGTACATAAAAAGTCATAAACAAATTCAACGGACAAGACAATTCCTTTAAGAGTTTGTGCATATACATTTAATGAAATATAGAAATCATTTTCATTAATTACTATTGTCAGTTTTACTTATAAAGTTAAATAAAATCGCTGTTTATTAATCTGTTCGTATGAAATTGCAATTATTGAACATCATAAGAACTATGTTGCAGTTATGCCTACGTTTCATCTTTTTACACTTTTGTAAAGGTTGAAAATATGGTGGACTTCGCTAAACGTGTCAATGGAGCACCTTTAGAATACAGCACCACAACTTCTCGTGAGGACGATCTCTGCCGTAGGTCACGTGTCATTAAGACAAGCAACCAGTTTGTGAGAACCCGTCGGACGCGAACCCGCGACCTTCGGATTGTTAGCTCGACAGCTAACCGACTGAGCTACGTCCACACTGTTGCAGAATGTGCAAATTTATCGAGTCATTCCTGTGACGTCACGGAAATGAACGGAAAGAGTGGAATAGGTCACGGACAATTACGAATGCTACGGGTAGACTTGGTGTCTCGTGATTTTATTCTCCGGACAATTGCCGAATGGATCCGATGCCATTTGGCACACTCGTCCCATTCCGTAATCTACAAATTAACGTGTGGCGTGGAATGAGCCGATATGCCTCAAACTGAAAAGGGTTGTTGACGTCAGGCGTCAGACGTAGATTTCACGGTGCATGCATGAATGACGCGCTTTTATATAAATCGGTGATTTTGTGACAGAAAAGTGATGTAGGGAACACTGTAAGGATAATGTGGATCGCACTAAGGAACGAGGGACACATGAGCATGTGTAGTGACGGCACGAGGGTGAGTTAGCCTTCGAATCATTACTTTACAAAATTTATGTTGCGTGTGAAAGAGGCTTGAGTGCAAATTCCAGACCAATTTCCATTAGCCCAAAATGTCTACATTAACCCATTTCATAATGTACTTTCGACGTTTTTGGTTTCCCGTTTTTGTGTGAAATAAAAGTATTAAAATGCAAAAAGGAAAAACAACAAATGGTACTCACGTATTACACCGGTCATGTACCTGCTATATTGGATTAGGTCCCTAACCCTAACCCTAACCCTAACCCTAACCCTAAACCCTAAACCCTCAGCCCTAACCCTAACCCTAACCACTTGAAATAATCCTAATAAATAGAATGCATTGACCGAACCACCGGACATGTACCTACTATATATTGCATTAGGTCCCCAACCCCAACCCTAACCCTAAACCCTAAACCCTAACCTAACCCTAACCCTAACCCTAGTCCTAGTCCTAGTCCTAGTCCTAGCCCCTAGCCCTAGCCCTAACCCCATCCCTTGAATTAATCCTAATAAATAGAATGCATTGACCGAACCGGCGCAAACACGACTGACGTGTCTAGTGTAATGCATTATTACCGCTTCGAAAATAAAATACTAATAAAACACTTTTCTATGTAATGGTGCAAATTACTGAATGACAAATATATATATGTAAATTTAAAATTAAAAAAATACAAAATACACAAAACATAACACCTCAGCAGCCCGTAATACAAATAAATATGAGCGTATTAGTGAAAAAGAAAATATTTTCAAACTGGTGCTTGCAAAATATTGCGCATCCGCCGGTATACAACTACTGGAAACTCTCAACATCGTTGGGCTTATGCAATGACATAGCTCGTAGAGATGAAACACCAGTGAGCGGAGCTTATACGCACTCGCTGAGCCAGACAACCGTGTTGCCATGCAGGCGTCATAAGGCATTGTTTCAATTTCTTATGTGACTATTCAAATAAGCAAAATCTTTCAAAAGATGAAGGAAATAATGTATAGCCTATATCCACATATGATTTGATCTCGAACAAGGCTAAATGTTGACAACAAAATTATTTTTGTGAAATATCCGAACGATACGCAAAATATACATTATACTGACTGACTGACTGTGTTTGGTTTTACAGCGCTTTTAGCAATATTCCAGCTACATCACGACGGGGGAACACCAGAAATGTGCTTCACACATTGTACCCATGTGGGGATTCGAACCCGGGTTTTCGGCGTGACGAGCCAACGCTTTAACCACTAGGCTACCCCACCGCCCCTATACATTATAATACTGAAAGTATAATCGGCGGGATATGGTGATTGTGTTTACCCTTATTCAACCGACCTTCACCTTAAGAAAATGACCAAATATGTACAACAATGTTGACGTATGACATCATTAGCAATTTCTTACAAAATGGCGGTTTCGCTGAAAAGGGTACGTAGGATTTGGAGAGGACTCTTCCTTGATTCAGGGATTATTTGTACATAAATATGTGATGTAAATATTCAGAATGATTTTGACTACCTGTGTATTGTTATATGTTTTTATTGGTATCATTGTAACAGAAGAAGCCAGAAATGCCGAGAATTACCGTTGTCGTTCTGCGTGATTTTGCGTCAGTCATGGCGTCACGCTGGGTCGACTAAATTTCGAATAAACATATCAAAACATATCACATTACAGTATTGTATCTTTTTTTAATTTGCTATTCTAGCTACGATACTCTTTCCATACATATTCTTCACGTATTGAACCTATGCATGCTACAAATAGACGAGTGGGTGTCTGAAAATTTGACAAAATGCTACACAGTGTAAAGTCTGAATTTGTCTTTGTTTACATTTCAAACAAGGACTGTCTTTCGAGCACAGCGTTCGTTTTCACATCCAGTATGTTTCGTTTCATTTCATCTAGACACTTGGTATTGGTGACAAAGACCAGTTGTTTTTTTATTCTAAAATGTATGAGGAATTCAGCGATGCATTTGTCGCACTGAATGTGACATTTTGGTGATGCGTCTCACATTCCGGCCTTCGCGAAACGACTTTATAAATACTATCTAAGATCGCGGAAAACACACTTCGGCGTTCGTGTTAATGCATTTTCGAAAACATCCCAACGGATTCTTGGTTTCTCAGCAACGGTTCAGAGTTAATTAGTGATTTCATGAAACTGATATAAGTGATCATTAATATACTATTTTCTTTTTTTAATTCAATACTTATCCGAATTTTACATTTTAAAAACACACACCAAATAACGGTGTGAATCGCGATTTCGTAATGTGTAAAAAAAGGCGACATTTACGATAAAGCCTATTTTGCAAGGCCATTTTCAGCACTTAAGGTTTCTCTAAGATAAAAATGAAAGGTATGAAGAAACAGGAAATTCCCCACAGAATATCTATAGAATTTTATTGGACTTGAGGGTTGAAGTGAGGAAGGACATGTAATGGCCCTCTGGCGGTTAGGGACTAATGGTACAAAGGAGAGCATACCCAAAATAATTATACAAATCGCAAAACACAGTGTTATCAAATACATTAAAAGTGAAGCCGAGACCAAAACCAGCGAAGTACCCCAAAATTTTAGACTGGTAGATCTACCCTGCTCATAGTCCCTAACGACTGAACTACCCCAAAGTGATAGAACTGTCTCCAGTGGCAACTCGTTTGGCATTCGATCGTTGAGATTAATAGTTTTCAGGGCCTACTAATGTGAAGGGAATGGTGTCCGAGAGATAGCCATTTTGGTGCTTCCCGATAGCAGGAATACCCTACCCAGTTAATTATCTCCCTCATATATGTATTTGTCCTGGAAATGTACTGAAAAAAAAGTATTCAACGCGTCCAACGTCTTCCAGGTTGAGTCACAGCACATTGGCCCTATCATGAACAATATCCAGAAAATTGACGGTTATATGTGGGCCCTAGATGTTAATTACCCGGGAGTAATGTTTGAACGGCTGGACCTGTGTTACTCAAAACAATATACTCTAACATAATGGCTTTCGCTTACCTACCGGCAAGTCGTAACTACAAATGGCGTTTGTGATGACGTCGCTGTAATGTGACGTCACTATAATGTGACGTCACAGGCACGCGCATTGCGTCTCAACGACATAGTAGACTCTGGCATATCCTGGCGAGTTGACTGGTGTCAAACATATTTGAGCGTTTTGAGTGATGGAATAGTATTTGACACACTGCACTTGTAAACATAATAATATGCTAGGCCTACCTTTAGAATACAGCACCACAAACTTTAAAAATACGTCATAATACCCTTTTACGTAATCTAATGGCATTTTGTTCGAAAGCTCGTTCTCGAAACAATGCCCTATGGCGCCGAACACGGTTGTCTAGCTCTGCGAGTGCGTATAAGCTCCGCTCACTGGTGTTTCATCTCTACAAGCTATGTCATTGCATAAGCCCAACGATGTTGAGAGTTTCCAGTAGTTGTATACCGGCGGATGCGCAAGTTTTTACAAGCACCAGTTTGAAATATTTTTCCTTTTTTTCACTAATACGCTCATATTTATTTGTATTACGGGGTGCTGAGGTGTTATGTTTGGACTTATGTTTTGTGTATTATTGTATTTTGTATTTTTTAAATTTAGCGAGAATGCGTTACACCGGTCTATATTATATATATTCGATTATTCGCAATTTTGGTCAATGTAATTATTTAAATTATGTAAATATATTTTATATTTCGGTTTCTAAGTAACTATTAAGTCTAAATGATTTACCAATGTGAACTGACATACATATTTCATTCAGTAATTTGCACCATTAAATAGAAACGTTTTTTATTAGTATTTTATTTTTCGAAGTGGTAAAAATGCATTACACTGGACACGTCAGTCATGTTTGTGCCGGTTCGGTCAATGCATTCTATTTATTAGGATAATTTCAATGGGTTAGGTACGTTAGGGTTAGGGTTAGGGCTGAGGGGTTAGGGGTTAGGGGTTAGGGACCTAATCCAATATAGTAGGTACATGTCCGGTGTAATACGTGAGTACCATTTGTTGTTTTTCCTTTTGCATTTATTTACTGCCGGTTCGGTCAATGCATTCTATTTATTAGGATTATTTCAAGGGGTCAGGGTTAGGGTTAGGGCTGAAGGTTTAGGGGTTAGGGTTAGGGACCTAATCCAATATAGTTGGTCCGGTGTAATACGTGAGTACCATTTGATGTTTTTCCTTTTTGCATTTTATACTTTTTTTCACACAAAACGGGAAACCAAAAACGTCGAAAGTACATTATGAAATGGTTTAATGTAGAAATTTTGGGCTAATGGAAATTGGCCTGGAATTTGCACTCAAGCCTCTTTCACACGCAACATAAATTTTGTTTAGTAATGATTCGAAGGCTAACTCACCCTCGTGCCGTCACTACACATGCTCATGTCTCCCTTGTTCCTTAGTGCGATCCACATTATCCTTACAGTGTTCCCTACATCACTTTTCGGCCTACCTTTAGAATACAGCACCACAAACTTTAAAAATACGTCATAATACCCTTTTACGTAATGTAATGTGATTTTGTTCGAAAGCACGTTCTTGAAACAATGCCCAATGACGCCTGCATGGCAACACGGTTGTCTGGCTCAGCGAGTGCGTATAAGCTCCGCTCACTGATGTTTCATCTCTACGAGCTATGTCATTGCATACGCCCAACGATGTTGAGAGTTTCCAGTAGTTGTATACCGGCGGATGCGCAATATTTTGCAAGCACCAGTTTGAAATATTTTTCTTTTTTCACTAATACGCACATATTTATTTGTATTACGGGCTGCTGAGGTGTTATGTTTTGTGTATTTTGTATTTTGTATTTTGTTTTAATTTACATATATATTTTTGTCATTCAGTAATTTGCACCATTACATAGAAAAGTGTTTTATTAGAATTTTATTTTTCGAAGCGGTAATAATGCATTACACTAGACACGTTAGTCGTGTTTGTGCCGGTTCGGTCAATGCATTCTATTTATTAGGATTAATTCAAGGGATTGGGGTTAGGGCTAGGACTAGGGTTAAGGTTAGAGCTTAGGGCTTAGGGTTTAGGGTTGGGGTTGATATAGTAGGTACATGTCCGGTGGTTCGGTCAATGCATTCTATTTATTAGGATTATTTCAAGGGGTTAGGGTTAGGGTTAGGGCTGAGGGTTTAGGGGTTAGGGTTAGGGTTAGGGACCTAATCCAATATAGCAGGTACATGTCCGGTGTAAAACGTGAGTACCATTTGTTGTTTTTCCTTTTTGCATTTTAACACTTTTTTTTCACACAAAAACGGGAAACCAAAAACGTCGAAAGTACATTATGAAATGGGTTTATGTAGAAATTTTGGGCTAATGAAAATTGGCCTGGAATTTGCACTCAAGCTTCTTTCACACGCAACATAAATTTTGTAAAGTAATGAGTCGAAGGCTTACTCACCCTCGTGCCGTCACTACACATGCTCATGTGTCCCTCGTTCCTTAGTGCGATCCACATTATCCTTACAGTGTTCCCTACATCACGTTTCTGTCACAAAATCACCGATTTATATAAAAGTGCGTCATTCATGCATGCACCGTGAAATCTACGTCTGACGCCTGACGTCAACAACCCTTTTCAGTTTGAGGCATATCGGCTCATTCCACGCCACACGTTAATTTGTAGATTACGGAATGGGACGAGTGTGCCAAATGGCATCGGATCCATTCGGCAATTGTCCGTAGAATAAAATCACGAGACACCAAGTCTACCCGTAACCTTCGTAATTGTCCGTGACCTATTCGACTCTTTCCGTTCATTTCCGTGACGTCACAGGAATGACTCGATAAATTTGCACAGCGTGCAACAGTGTGGACGTAGCTCAGTCGGTTAGCTGTCGGGCTAACAATCCGAAGGTCGCGGGTTCGCGTCCGACGGGTTCTCACAAACTGGTTGCTTGTCTTAATGACACGTGACCTACGGCAGGGATCGTCCTCACGAGAAGTTGTGGTGCTGTATTCTAAAGGTGCTCCACTTTTCTGTCACAAAATCACCGATTTATATAAAAGCGCGTCATTCATGCATGCACCGTGAAATCTACGTCTGACGCCTGACGTCAACAACTCTTTTCAGTTTGAGGCATATCGGCTCATTCCACGCCACACGTTATCTTGCAGATTACGGAATGGGACGAGTGTGCCAAATGGCATCGGATCCATTCGGCAATTGTCCGTAGATTAAAATCACGAGACACCAAGAATACCCGTAACCTTCGTAATTGTCCGTGACCTATTCGACTCTTTCCGTTCATTTCCGTGACGTCACAGGAATGACTCGATAAATTTGCACATTTTGCAATAGTGTGGACGTAGCTCAGTCGGTTAGCTGTCGAGCTAACAATCCGAAGGTCGCGGGTTCGCGTCCGACGGGTTCCCACAAACTGGTTGCTTGTCTTAATGACACGGGACCTACGGCAGAGATCATCCTTACGAGAAGTTGTGGTGCTGTATATTCTAAAGGTGCTCCGGGGGTAATATCATGAGTTCTTTTCAATTTGCCCATACTAGACAAACTTACAAAATACACGAAATTTGTTACACCGAAGCCGGGAAACAAACGTAAAACATTTTCCCAGCCATGGGTCTAGCGCTACGTTGCGCTGCGCTCGGGCAACACACCACTCGTCCCTGGCGGGTGACGTCACGCACTAGATGACGTCACGACATCTATAAGTACAAGCGCTACCTCAATGCAACATCCTCAATGTCCAAACCATAACCTGCTACCCTACCACTCCTAAAGGCCCGTCCTTGTTAGAACGTTGCTCAACACTCGGAAAATAAATTTCCCAATGTGGGGAAGGAGGGTGGGAATTATGATATTACTCGTAAGTATTTAATAAAAACAGGAAATACTATGGAATTCCTCCTTTTTATTACAATACTTACTCCTAATATCATGAGACTTTGTCATAGCGGACGGAGGGAACCGAGCCTCGTCCTGACAAGTGGCCAATACAAAGGAGAGGTATTATAAAGCGACCGAGGTCAGGTCGACCCTTGACATTGCCACCCACGCGGGGGCGGGTCAGCCCCACCTGGTAGGAGTTGCCTCCCCTAGACCATAGGAAACTTCAGTGCACAATAAATAGAGAAAGAAGATTTACTCACCCTTGGCTTGTAAATCTTCAAGATGATCGGTCTGGCCGTTACCATGACTTCCACCCCATTAAGGGTATACAAATGTTTTCTTCTCCAATCCCCGTTAAGGGAAAAATGACATTTATGGCACTATAAGAAGCACAATGTTATTGGTACCCAAAAAAGCACCCCATATAACATACTATAAACACACTAACTCTGCAACTACTGCGCAACATACTAAATATTGCGGGAGAACAAATATTCCAAAATCACAGAAATATCGGCATCTTAATTAACAGTGAGATACATTCTGTGCTACTGCGAGGGGAAGACGTCTACACTCGTTTCGCTGTGTAGCAACGTGTCTGATGGGGAAGGTTGTCTCCAGTAAGCCGCCCCCATAATTGCCTCTAAAGAGATCGAGGAGGGCAATGCCAGTGAGGCCGAGATAGCCCTTAATTCGTATGAATTCACACTACTATTGGTCAGCAGATCGGATTTACCGGCCTGACCATAGGCTACCCTGACAGTGCTCGTAATCCACTTTGAGAAGGAGGCTGCCGCAAATTCTCTACCTTCAGTTGTGTAGGAAATAAACAACCTTCTCTGTGTAGTCCGTAGGAGTTTAACCCTGTGGATATACCACTGAAGGGTCCTTCACACTTATTTCGAATTGACAGGAATCAAGGAGACACAACCAGAATTTGTTTTTCCAAAATTCGAACCGCTTTCGGGAGAGAATGTCTAAATAAACAATTTTTTCAAGCTTTGTAAGAATGCTGTTGGAATACTTAGAACGCACTTCGAACCTGCCTCGAATGATTCTTACTCATTCCAAATGTACATATAACTAGATCACGAATGCAGCTCGAATGAATCGGAAAACCGTAGGAATAATTAGAATGCCGTTAGAATACACGAAGAATACTAAAGTATTTCGATTGCGGCGTG